CCACTGATTTTTAGAGTGGAAGGGAGGGAGGGAGGGAGGGGGGGAGAGAGAGAAAGATCAATGTGAGAGAGACACATGGATTGGTAGCCTCCTTCAGTCACCCCCCACACCTGGGCCAGGGGCAGGTGGGGGGTGGGGGGGAATCAAATCTGCAACCCAGGTACTTGACAGGGAATATAAACCTCTACCCTCGGGTGAGAGTGCCAATGCTCTAACCACTTAGCCACACTGGCCAGGGCATGAATGTATTTAATACTACTGAGCTGATTACTTGAAAATAGTTAGGATGGTAAATTTTATGTGTATTTTACCACAATAAAAAAAATTTGGGGGGGGAGGGGAGTGGGTCGGTAAGAACCAGGCCTGAGTGTGTGTTTGTTTCTTGAGAAAATCAACTATAGAGGAAGAGAAAAGAAAATCACTGTGCATGAAAATAGCCTTGCCCTGGCCGGTATAGCTTGGTTGAGTGTCATCCTATGCACCAAAAAGTCTCAGGTTTGATTCCAGGTCAGGCATGTGCTCAGGTTGTGGATTTGACCCCTAGTCAGGGTGCACGCAGGAGGCAACCGATCGATATTTCTCTTTCATATTGATTTTCTCCCTCCCTCTCTAAAAATCATTAAAAACATATTTAAGAAGAAAACAATCTTTTAAGGTTATTTTGGGCTTGCTGAAGTCATTTAGGTTGAGGAGATGAGTGGTTTCCAGATGGAGCCAAAACAAGGAGGTGTAGATCCTTGGTAGAGAGCTTGTTTTAATATGGCTTCAGAAACGTTTGTTGCCTTCCAGTTGTCCATAGTATCAGTCCATTAATCCAGAATTCCAGCTCCCTAATATGGTTCCAATCTGCTTATTCCATGGAATCTTACAGAATTCTTTGAAGCATTCAACTACATTCTGTTTGCTGTCATCTTGTGCTTTCAGGTCTTTTGCTTTCTCAGTTCAACCTAAATGAGTTGGTTTGTGGCTTGCCTACTTCAAGGATCAACTCAGTGTACTTGTCCAGGAAGTATTTCTCCATCACACAGTGATACCCTTCCTCTGAACTCACCACTATATCCTCTAGTGATAGTGGGTTTTATCATAGTCTTATTTAATTCTAACATTTTGAGCTCTGGCTGAGTAGCTCAGTTGGTTAGAGCATCAACCTGATATCCCAAAGTTGTGAGTTTGATCCCTGTTCAGAGCACATACAAGAATCAACCAATGAATGCATAAATTAAGTGGAACAACAGATTGATGTTTCTCTCTTCCTTATTCTCTGTCTCTAAAAATCAATAAATTTTTAAAAATTTTAATTCTTGCCCGGCTGGTGAGTTTCAGCAGTTGAGCATTGACCTATGATCCAGGAGACTGCAGTTTGAATCCCGGTCCAGGGCACAAGTGCAGATTGCAGGCTTGACCCCCAACAGGGGGTGCGTAGGAGGCAGCCAATTAGTGACTCTCATCATTGATGTTTCTCTCTCTCTTTCTCCCTTCCTCTCTCTGAAATAAATAAAAATAAATTTAAAATAAAATTTTAATTCTTTCCTGGCTGGAGTAGCTCAGCAGCTGAGCATCAACCTATGATCCAGGAGATAGGGGTTCAGTTCCCTGTCAGGACACATGCCTGGGTTTCAGGCTTGATCTCCAGTAGGGGGCGTGCAGGAGGCAGCCAATCAATGACTCATCATTGATGTTTCTCTCTCTCTCTCCCTCTCCCTTCCTCTCTCTGAAATCAATAAAGACATATTTAAAACAGAAAAAAATAAAAATTTTAATTCTTACATTTTGATTTCTATTTTTAGAAATCTTCTGTAAAGGCTATATTTTATATACTTCCCCATATTTCCTTGGTCTTATCCCTTGGTCTGCCTGGGGCTGATCAGTCGCATCCCTGAAATCTCTGTCTCCTCCTGCCACTTTAGGACTCCTGTGGAACACTTCACTGAACAATGCAGGCTCTGACTTTCCTGTGGCTGCTGGAAGGACTTAGATGATGCATCTTGGAAGTATGGGGTGTCATTCCCCATGGAACAAACTTTGGCCAATTGAAAACAGTGAACTGAGCAAGCACAACATAGAAATTCCCTTCCTTTTTTCCAAGGCATGGTTTCTTCAGTGTGTCTGGAGAAGGACCAGATTGAGTGGATGTACCTGCCAAGCAACCTGCTGTGTCTCCTATGGCTCATTTTCAAAGAGGAACCAGCAAGACAAACATCACCTTGTATTACCTCTTATCCTTCCCTACCTAACATCTTTCCAGAATGTTACCTCATTCTCGCTGTCCTGAATTTGTACCTCCCAAATAAAGCATCAGCATTTAATCTTTACCTGCAGGAAAGGGTCCACATTTTGAAATGTTTCTGTTGTAGCACCTAGCACATAACATTTAGTGTTCAATAAATATCATAAATCGATGGTCGGTGTGTGTGAGTTCCCTTTCTAGTATAAATAACTGTGGTACTGTATGAGAGAGAAAATGTAATTCAACATACAATATATGTTAGGCATTTTTTATTGTTTTGTCTTTTAATAGAAATACTTTCACATGGTTCAAAATTCAAAATGTACATATGGATTAATAGTAAAAAGACTTCCTCCTACCTTTGACCTCCTAGACTCTTGGTTTTCTTCCCTAAGACAACCAATGTTCTCACGTTCTTATGTATCTCTTCAGAAGAAGTTTATAAAGTTTATGGATATATTAGCTTATATATGTGTATATATATGTATTTGTGTTTGTCCCTTTTTCCACTTAACAATACATATTGGAAATAAATATTTTAAAACATCACATCTTAGTGATAACTCCATATCATTATACAATAACACAAAGAGCTTATTCATTCTTTTATATGGCTTCACAGAAATATCCATTGTACCAATTTATCATAGTTTCTCTAATACTCCCCCAACTTTTGCTATAAAAATAAGTCCATAACAAATTATCTATACATTTTATAAGATAATGGGAAGATTTATCTTCCCATTTGCAAGATAAATTACTGGAAGTGAAATCGCTAGGTCATAAGGTAACAGGTTAGTTTTTGACTCTTGGCATCAACTCTCTTAGAGATGTCTTTTGCTCTTCAGGAGCTGTCACTGCTTTCCCTTTCTCTATGAGCTGAACAGCCCTCAGCAAACCATTCTGCAGAGCCTGGTTCTTTACCATGTTTGTGATCATGAAAGGGACATCCCTGATGTACAACTGTCTTACTTTGGCACTGTAGTGTTCTGCCTTGTTACCATGCGCAATAAAGAAGGTACAAAGCGCTGTGACATCTCCTTCTTGCAGCCCACACTCCTCCAGGACAGATTCCCATACAACTCTAATGTGCTTGCTCTTGACTTTTCTTCTAAGGACAGAGGCTAAGGTGGGAAGACCTCTCACCAAGTCTGGCAGCTTCTCAAGCACACGAGTGTGCAAGCAGATGAGAACTTCAATGACGTAGCTGTATATAATATTTAATTCTATTGAAGTGAACCTACAAAAAAGGAAGAGCTTCTAAAGCAACAGAATACTTTATGTTCAAATATAAAATGAATTCTATCAGGATAACTCAAAGAAGTACAAACCCACTAGGAGAGCCAGCTGTTGTATTTTAGAAAATATTTTGGAAATAAGGCCTGTGCTAAACTGGATACCTTAGTTCTCTGGCCACCCATCCTATAAGTTTCTCAATGGCAGAGGAGCTATTTTATCCATCTTTGTGTTATTAAGACTTGGGCAAGCAAGAGACTGTGATAAGAAGAGCACCGCAGTACCTGGCATATAAACAGGTACTCAAATTAATCATTTTTTGAATAAATGAATCAAGAATATGTGATTTCTTCACAATCCATATTAAGAAATTCAATTTTAGAATGACCATTGCCAGCTCTCACAATGCCACAAAATTCCCCTGATTTCTCATTGGATACTCACTTGAGTGACAAAACTGCTGTCCACAGCTCATCTTGGGCTGCCTGGCTTGCCAACATCTTGCTATGATGTTCAAATTTCTGTGTGAGATTATCCTTGGTGAAGTCCAGTTCTTTAAACTGTGCTTCTAAAGCTTGGAGTTTATGGTCTACTCTATAGGATAAAAGAATCAAGGGCTGGTTTAAGTCAGGGGACAAAAAGAGTTGCCTAAGATGAGTCTATATTACTTACAACCACTACCAAGTCTGGGCAGCTATTTGCCATTCTCTCTATCCATTATCCTAGTTCTTGCATTCCTTATATTGCCAAATGTTTGGATTGTCTACTTGAATTCATTTGCCATGTTTTATACTTATATTGTACTTTATACTTTAAAAAATATTTTATACAGCCCTGGCTGGTGTGGCTCAGTTGGTTGAGCCTCATCCCATGCACCATGGGGTCGTAGGTTCAATTCCTGGTCAGGGCACATGCCTGGGTTGTGGGCTTAATCCCTGGTGGAGGATGCTGGGGGGCAGCCAATAGATGTTTCTCTCTCTCCCCCTCTCTCTCTAAAATCAATAAAAACAATTTTTAAAAGAAAAAAAAGTATTTTATATAAGCATTACTTTGAGTCTCATAAGCACCATAAGAAGTGAAGAGTCATTTTTACTATTTTACAGATAAAGAAATTGAGTATCGCCCTAGCCAGCTTGGTTCAGTGGTTAGAGTGTCGGCCCACGGACTGAAGGGTCCTGAGTTCGATTGTGGCCAGGGGCACGTGCCTCGGTTGCTGGCTCAATCTCCCACCCCAGTCAGGGCTAGTGCAGGAGGCAACCAATCTTTGTGTCTCTCTCACATCGATGTTTCTCTCTCCCCCTTCCACTCTCTCTGAAAAGCAATGGAAAAAATATCCTCAGATGAGGATAAATAATAAATAAAAGAAAGAAAGAAAGAAAGAAAGAAAAAGAAAGAAAGAAAGAAAGAAAGAAAGAAAGAAAGAAAGAAAGAAAGAAAGAAGAAAGAAAGAAATAGCTTTCCAGCCTATCTTTAAGAAGAAAAAAAAATTGAGTATTCAAAAGATTGAAACCTAATATCATATAACTAGCTAGTGCTGGAACCAATATTTAAAAAGGTGGTTTGCTTGGCCAGGCGTGGCTCAGAGGTTGAGCATCGACCTAGGATCCAGGAGATCATGGCTTGATTTTTGGTCAGGGCACATGCCTGGGTTGTGGGCTTGATCCCCAGTCGGGGGGGTGCAGGAGGCAGCTGATCAATGACTCTCTCATCATTGATGTTTCTATCTCTCTCTCCCCCCCTCCTTTCCTCTCTCTGAAATCAATAAAGATATATTTAAAATAAAAAAATCACTCTATATGGAGAAAAGTGTGAAATCAGATAAGAGACTTTGGTAGCAATTCAGACAGATGGATGTGGCAAGGAAAAGAGAGGAGGCAGTNTAATAATAATGTAGCTTTCTCTACCATATTCTGACTGTTTGAATCCTATCTTTCCTTTAAAGATAAGCTCAAATTCCACTGCCTGCTTGAATCTCCCTGCTTTTCTACCTGAAGATCTCCTCCCTACTTACTTCATTCTCACAAGGACTATCTCTATCACTTGTCACTTCCCACCCCCTATTTTATTTTTAGAGTTAACTTTTTATGAACAAAATTGTAAGCTCTTGGAGGGAGGGGTTCAGAGACTATTTCTTGGACACCTTTTTTTAAAAAATTGAATTCAGGGAGAGAGAAACATTGATTTGTTGTTTCACTTATTTATGCATTCATTGGTTGATTCTTGTATGTGCCCTGACCCGGGATTGAACCTGAAACCTTGGCATATCGGGATGATGCTCTAACGAACTGAGCTATCGAGCCAGGGCTTCATGGACATCTTTACACCTGTCTCCCAACACCTAGCAGAGGCCTTACACAGAAGTAATAAAATATGTCTTGTGTGATTGAAATCTGAAATATGAATGAGACGTTGAGCTGTATAATCCAAGGGGATTTGAGTAGTTCTGAACAGCCCTAATCATCGGAGGGTGCTGCAGCACCAGAATTATGTCTAATTAAACCACAAAGAACACAAGTTACTTGCCCGAAGCCACCCACATTGTTTTTCATGAAGGAAGTGATACATTAACACACATGCCACTTCCCTGAGCTTCTATGTCCACAGTGACCTGAATACTGGCATGGTTGCCCAGGTCCTGGTCTTGACCTTTCTCCCCAGGCTAGTTCAGCTTTAAATACCACCTCTTTCCTAAGTCTAGACCTGTATCTTAACTATGTTCTGTACATCTCCACCTGAACAGGATATCAAAACTAAACTGTCCTAAACTGAACCTACTAACAACCCCCCACCCCCATCTTCCAAAATTATTACGGTGGAATTTTCTCACTGCTTTGAATTCTATTTATATATAAATAAGGCTCTGTGTGAAATGTGCATTTTGTAGTAGTGCATGACTTAATATGCTGGCAATCCCTGTCTATACATCAAAACTACGTTATCTGGCATACTGTTTGTATTAACTTAGACCATAGGTTATCTCTAGCTTGAACTGTAAAGAGGAACTCTAGCTTGTCAATTAGTATAAAAGTTTACGATTGTAGCAGTTCTCTGAAGTCCTCTCATCAAAAGCCAGTCCCAGATCATTCCAAATAAAGAACATGTCTGCAAATCTGAGTCTGTTTTCTACTACAATTCCCTAGCTCAGTTAATGACATTACCATCCATTCAATTGCTTGAACTAGAAATCTCAGAATAATTCTTACTTTTATTTTCCTCCCCACTAAGGTCTCTAATCTATCCCCTTCTCTCCATCTCCACTAAACCAGTTAATCACCATCTTTCACCTGGACCTAGGATTACAGTAGCCTAGCTGGGTCCTTGCTTTCAATTTCTGTAACCTCCAATCCATCCTCCAGAAATATGCTCCTGAAACACACTTCTGATCATGCCCTTCAACTGATTATATACTTTTGTTTCTGTGTGTGTTTTATTAATCCTCACATGAGGATATTTTTTCCATTGCTTCTCAGAGAGAGTGGAAGGGAGGGAGCGATTGGGGGTGGGGGTGGGGGAGAGAGAGAGAGAGAAACACCAATGTGAGAGAGACAGACACATCAATTGGTTGCCTTCTGCACACACCAGGGAAGGAACCTGCAACCCAGGTAGGTGCCTTTGATTGGAATCGAGCCTGAGACCCTTTGGTGTGCAGGCCGACACTCTACATCGGCCAGGGCGACTGATTATATACTTTGTATGCCACCCTGACTTGCCCAGTTATATCATTAGAGCCAAGTTGTATCTCCTCAGCATGAAATATAAAATCCTTCACCCTATGCTCCCATTTTCTGCCACTCCTCTCACCAATCACTTGACACATCTAGTGCTCAATGAGTATATAGTATGCGATTTCAAGCTTCCATGGCTTCCATGTACTGTTTCCCCAGCCTAGAGTTCCTTTCCATATTTTACTTATAAACTCCTACTCATACTTTAAGATCCAGCTTAAATGTCCCTCTCTGAAGAGTTCCTTTTCCCTAGCATCAAAGGCAAAATTAATTGATCCTCTCCATGTTCTCATAGCCCTTTAGGAACATGACCATTAGATGGTCAATCATGTTGTTTTAAGTATTTTTGAATACTTTTGTTATCCCTACAGGCTGTGAGTTCCTTCTGGGCACAACCCACATATTACTTATTTTTGAATACCTGCTATATAGCACATGCATTAATTGAATGGAATTATTGCACCTGGGAGTAAATTTTTCTTTATTATTAATTTACATATTTTTTAACCTGGAAGACTTAAACCACTTTAACAGAGATAGAAGTCTAATTGGCATGTCTGTAGTTCTTTGCCTATTCTTATTCCTCATACTTCTCTAACCCAGAAAAGGTCTTCTTCCTGGAAAAGACGACCTATGCTTGCTCCCTCCCTGTAGCCCTTAGCAACCTTTTCATCGCGTCCTTCAAGGATATCAGGGCTTCGGTTTCATTGTTCATCTTCTTAAGGCAAAATGAAAAGAAACCAAACAAAAACAAAAACCCAATAGAGGTTTGAATCCAGGGTTTTCTGCTGTCCTCCACTCGGCAACAGGCAGCACCAGCTTGAGTATTTGATCTAAATTCTGCCTGAAAGGTCACCCAGTACAAGAAGCTTTTAATAGCCTGTACATCCAAATATAGTTTCAAAGAACTGATCGTGTGAACACAGGTGTCCTGGAATGCACTATAATGTTTGCCTTTGAAAAACGAGCTGTGGTACATCAACATAGCACAACAAGTAGATGTAACTGGGTTCTAAGTATATTCTGGTAAGTGTATATATGGATATACAAATGTAGACATATATTAGGATTAAATTTGATGAAGATATTACTCTCAAAATTTTAACAACTTAATTGGTTCAATTATCATCTAAATTGGGTTAAAAGAAAGCCTCAGACCATTTACGATGTAGATCAATGCTAAAAATCTAACCATCCTTAGAAACGAATATTTATGGAGAGCTTCTAGTATTAGATTAGGTATTGGAAATAAAAACAGACATAAAACAGGATTCCTGAATTTAAGGGATTCAAACTTTAATTGGGGAGATAGGAGGACCTTACTTAAAAAGAAAATGTGGCCCTGGCCGGGGTGGCTCAGTTGATTGAGCACCCTCCCTTGCACTGAAAGGTCCCCAGTTTGATTTCCAGGCATGGTACAGATCAAGATTTCCAGTTCAACCCAAGACTTGCAACCAGGGGAGCAATGGGCAGTGGCAGCTCGTCTCAGGTTTACCCCCTGAACCTGTCTCCTAGGTCCCTGAGCCTGTCTCCAAGGCCCCCTTCTCTCCCTCTGCCTTCTCAGGGAGCCAAAGCAGCCCAGCCTGGGCTCTTGTTTCTTCTATGCCCTTCCTTGTTTCATTGTCCTAAGTATATTTTTGCTGTAGCCAATAAATTCTTGCTTTCTTTTCTACACTTTGTCTCGACTGAAATCTTTCCCTCAAGACAAGAACAGAGGTCTCCTCATCATCTTCCTGGTAACACACGCAGCTGAGAGAAAGAGAGGGGGGGAACATCGATATTTGTTTTCCATTTATTTATGCATTCATTGGTTCTAGTATGTGCCCTGACTGGTGTATGAGGAGGATGTTCTAACCAACTGAGCTACCTGGCCAGGGCTACCAGTGTGACTTTCTAAATAAACTTTTGCTTGTATTTGAGTTCTTTGGCTCTGAATTCTTTTCTTAGCTGAACTCAAGGACCAAAGTCTAACATCTGGTGCCATTCATCATCAACAGAATCACCTCACAAAATACGTGTAATTCTCCCCTCAGGTCTTGCTTCTGGTATATATCAAATTAAGACTACATGGGTGTGCCTGGCTGGCGTGGCTCAGTGGTTAAGCATCGACCTATGAACCAGGCAGGAGGTCATGGTTCAATTCCCTGTCAGGGCACATGCCCAGGT